CTGCTGACTCACCGGCTATAAATAGCCCGGGATATAGGAGCCACCGCTCGGTGCGCCGCCCTCAGTCCCCGCAGCTACGGGCTTCAGACTCCGCGGCAGCTCGGTCCCTGGCTCAGCCCGGGCCTCGGATCTCGGCCCAGCCCGGATTCAGCGGATCCCTGATCCGTCTATCCCTGGTCCATTTCATCCTGCAACCGGCCTAACCCCTGGTGGTTCGGTCCATCCTGCTTCCAGCCCATCCCACCGCTCGGTGCGCCGCCCTCAGTCCCCGCAGCTACGGGCTTCAGACTCCGCGGCAGCTCGGTCCCTGGCTCAGCCCGGGCCTCGGATCTCGGCCCAGCCCGGATTCAGCGGATCCCTGATCCGTCTATCCCTGGTCCATTTCATCCTGCAACCGGCCTAACCCCTGGTGGTTCGGTCCATCCTGCTTCCAGCCCATCCCAGACCCGGCCTATCCCTGGCCCGGTCCTTCCTGCATCCAGCGCATTCTGGATCCACGGCCCCCCCTCCACCTGCCTGTCCCCGCCGCGACCCCGCGCGCGGGGCCAGCAGCTGCGGCACATCTGGCGGGATGCCCCCTCTCCGTGGCGAGGCCCACCTGCCGCTGTTCCTCCCCCTCCCAACACTCACCCGCCGCTCGTACTGCGCGTTGAGGTCGTCCGCCATCCGCCGCAGCTGGGCCCCGATCTCCCGGGCCCACTCCTCCTCCTCCCCTCGGACTCCCGGGGCTGCCTGGGTGGGACCTCCTGCCAGGGCCTCCGGGGCGCTGGGCACGGTAGACTCTAGGTGCTGCTCGGCCGGTGAGAGCGAGGGCTGAGGACCTTGGAGAGGCAGAGAGGCGTGGTCACCACCCACCACCCTGGTTGGCCCCCTAGGTGTCCCAGAGGCACCGAGGTGACCCAGGCGTGCATCTCTCCCTAGGCAGCCACCTCCTTTCTCCTCTGCTTCCACCTCATTTCCAGCGATTCCTTTTTCCCACTCTTAGAGCTCTCCTCCTCCCCAGGCACTAGAGAAACCGGAAGAGGGGCCTGAGGAAGTTGCTCTGGGGTCACCTGCCCCCAGCTACCACCCCTCCAAAGCCCAGTTCAAAGTGGAAGTCCCTCGTCTTATCCCACCTAGATACGCTTATTCTAAAACAGTAAAATCTATTTGGCAGACAGGGAAACTGAGGCTCCATCCAGAGAAGTGGCCAAGGTCACACAGGGATACGGCGACTGACCCCACCCAGTCACAATCCTCAGGTCTCCAGCTCACTCCTGGCCAACCACAGTAAGGCCACACCCCCCGGATGTGGCATTGGCCTGAAGACCAGAAGGCCAGACTGGGACTGCTGGCGAGGACTGGGCCAGGCTGGGGGCTGGGATGCAGGATTAACCTTCCAGCCCCATCAACTCCCACAGCTCATCCCGGGCCCTCCCTCCTGTGACACCAGGTCCTGGCAAGACAGTTCCCTAGACCTGAGGCCTCAGTTTCCGAATCTGTGAGTCTAATCTTCAAATTCCCTGTCCCACTGCTAACGGAGAACTGCTGGAAAGTTTTTCTCTCTTTAACCCCTGGGCTCTGAGGACAGTGTGGGGGTATGATAGAAAGGGAAACCCAGAGGGTCACTCCCCTCGGCGGCCACCACAGGGTTAACAGCTCATCAGGCAGGGGACCTTTAACCCTTGCGTCCCCGAGTCTCTCCCTCTCTCCGAAGGGGACTTTCCCAACACAATGGCCCCCTCCCCCTCTCCTTCCTCCCCGGGGACTGCGGATTGGGCCTACTCTGGCCAGAGATTCAAATAAAAGGGAAAGGCCCTTCGACCCCTCCCCAAAGTCCTGAGTTGACAATCCTCCTACTCTGGTCACACTCCTTCCCACAGCAATGGGGGGGGGCACGAAAGGGGTGCCCAGGGAACCTAGGCTGGGGGAGGGGAGCTGAGACACAGCTGTTGCCCGAGGCCCGGAAAGGGCGGTGGGCTGCAACTCCCGGGACTGCAGTCAGATTCCAAGAGGGACTTCCCGCTCGACCTTTCCCCCTTCATCCCGGTCTCCCACTCCATCTTCCAGCTTTTTGCTACACAAAGACCACACTAGCCACACCCTCCCAGTGGCCCCGCTCGACTCGGCTCCCGCTTCTACCTCCCGGGGTTGCGGGGCGGGCACTCACCATCCGGGCGCGGGCCTCGGGGCCGGCTGCGGGGAGCCCCAGGCCAGCGGGGGCCCCCCAGGGCGGCGGTGACGGCAGGCTGGGCGGTGGGGGCGCAGAGGTAGGCGGCGGGCAGCAGGGCAGGGGCGGCGGGGGCGGCGGGCAGGCCCGGCTCACAGAGGCCGCAGGACACAGCCGATGGCATCAGGCGACCGAGCGGGAAGGGACGTGGGCCATCGCGGGCCAGGCCCTCTACGGGCTCCGGAGAACTGCCCTCCTGGCGTGCGCGGGCCATGGCGCTCCCTGGGGCCTGCGGGACAGGGCGGGGAGGTCAGCGGAACGACTGCGGGGGAGGGGGGCTTCAGGACCCCACCCTTCAGACACCCCGCTGGAGGTCACTCTTGGTCCACGCTCACTCAGGAGACACGCCCCACGAAGGGGTGACCCCCGGGGAGCAGGTTGGCCAGGACATATGGTGATGGGTGCAGGAGGGAAGAGGAGGCACAGATCGAGGTACAAGGCTGCCACTGCCAGTGTGGCTTGTGGCAAGCCCACCAGGCAAACTGTGCCTGGGACTCACAGGGCATGGGCTGGTGAGAACTTTCCCAACACAGAGAGGGAGGGTGAATGGCTCCTAGGACACACAGGGGCTCACAGAGGACGTGTGTGTGTTTTTGTGTAGTAATGAGCAGACAACACAGACATACAAGAACTCACAGAAGTGTACAACTTGACCCCCCCCCTCATTCCCTCTCATTGACACTGAGATCTTGCTGTTCCAGACACAGGGGGGACCGACTTTGACCACAACACACACAGCCATCCCAAGTCCATCTCCTGCCCCAGCCACACACTTAATTCTGCCACAGTCCACACTGACCCACCGTTGACATACCAGCAGACACCCACCTACCCACGGTGCAGTCACACAGGAAGAGACAACAGGCACAGCCACAAGTCTCCAACATGTCTGTGTCTACATATACACAACCCCAAGTCACAAGACCGGCCCCCCATACCTTAGCACACACCCTCATCAGCCCCAAACAGAGGAAACCAGCTCCACACCCCCAAAACACATTTGAATGTCCCTCAGCTCTGAGCTTCAGGACACATTGTATCAGCCCCACACAGACACAACTTAGCACAACCAGACACATCCCTGCACATGCGGGCAGCAACGTGGGGAGGCACCAGTTGAAGAGACCACATCACATCAGTCAAACCTCCTCTCCCAGCCCCAAAATACCATGGCCAACTGTCAGCCAGAACACACTCTCTTGCACACACCATCTAGAACTAATCCCACACAGCCCAGCAGCTCACACCTAAAGAAAACACTGGCCTCACGTGACTGGTATAAACACACATACGTGCCCACATGACACATATGAACCACCGATCACAGTGACAAGCCCCTCAGACCCAACACACACACACACACACACACGGTGCAGAGAGGTGGCCACTGCACTGTCTAGACCCCCTAAAGTCCTCTCAGTTTCCAAAAGCCAGGGATGGTGACAACCTTTGCCACTTGGAAGTCACCTGGATAGCAATCAGACACTGGGTGGCACCCCATCCCAAATATTGGGTGCAGATGCATGCTTCGGAGACATCCAGCACCACACACACACACGCAGAGCACACACACAGCCCAGAACCCTGTACACACACACACACACAGCTCACTCAAGCGATACACAAACACATCCCAAGCCCCCCCCAACCAAGCCATCATCACCAAGCAGGCAACAGATCCCCCCTTCAAGTCACCCCCTCAAGACCACACACACACGCACACACAACTCTGTCTTGAGGGGAGTACCCACACCCGCATGCGGACAGGTGTACCCCACCCCACAAAACACGCGGGGAGAAGACTCACGCAGACACCCCTCCGGGTGACAAACGCCAACATCTCGGTGGAGGGACACAAACTCAGGAGCCAGACACGCGCGCACACACCCAGGCGAGACACCTGCAGATCCACAGCCCTGCACGCGCGGTCCCCGCCGCCCCCTGCGCTGTCACAGCCCCCCCACCGTCGCCACGTGCGCCCGCCCCGCCCGCCCAGCGCGCGCGGGGCCAATAACCGGCTGTTGCTGGGGCGCAGCCCCCGCCCGCGGGAGCCGCAGCCTCCGCCGCCCCCTGTCACCGCCCCCGGCGGGCGCGCGCCCTGGGTGTGGCCGATCCTCGGTGCCACCCCCCAACACACACACACACACACACACACACACACACACACACTCACTCACTCACTCACTCCAGAACCTCCCCGGATCGGGACTCCGTGGACCTAGGCAACCCCGGGTCCACTCTCCTCCCCTGCCACACTGGGCACCAGGGGGCGCTAGCGAGCCCGAACCCCATTGTTTGTAAACAAACCCGCCAGACCGCTGTGGCACCTGTGCGCCCAGACAGGGCGCCCAGAGTACCAGGTGCCTGGCTAGACCAACCCTTTGGTGGAAGTTGGGGGACAAGCACGGGTAGGAATGTCAGGTGATCGCCTGCAGTGCCCTGCACTCCCCGTCACCTCCTCCAGGGAGCCCACCCGGCCTGGCCCATTGTGTCCAGCCTTTGGGGATCCGGAGGGTGCGCACACTCACCCCGGGGGCATGAACACGCCGGAAGAGGGCGATGATGGGGTGGCGGGCGGCTTCCTTTTGGAAGGCGCGCCCGCCGAGTCCCGCTCGCTGCGCCGGCTTGCTGCCGAGGCTCCTGTTGCTGCTGCCTCTCTAGCTGCAGTGGTGGTTGCTACTGCTGCTGCTGCTACTCTTGGTGCTGTTGGAGGTGGCGCTGCGTCTGCGTCCTGGCCCACCGCCGCTGAGCTCTCTCGCTCGTGCAGCCGCCGCCTCCAAGCGCCCCGCTCGCATGTGGCTCACCGCGGCGTTTCAGGCCGCCCGGCGGATCCCGGGCTCC